GGTTTGGGGGTGTTGGCAGGGTGTATGGGGTATTTGGGGTGGGTATGGGGGTGTTGGTGGGGTTATTAGGGGTTCTGGACCCTTTTTTTTTTCTTTTTTTTTTTTGCAGGGTGCGTACGAACCGACCGGTCGGTGGGTCGGCAGCCGACCAGTCAAGGGTCGCCGACGGTCGGGGTGTGCGACACTGGTTAGTGTTGGTGGGGTTATTAGGGGTTCTGGACCCTTTTTTTTTTCTTTTTTTTTTGCAGGGTGGGTACGAACCGACCGGTCGGCAGGTCGGCAGCCGACCAGTCAAGGGTCGCTGACGGTCGGGGTGTGCGACACTGGTTAATAGGAAAATATTATTCCCCTCCATAAAGCCACGTGAAGGGTACCGGTACTGGCGAACCTGTGATCGAATCGCTTCACAGCTTCAGGCAGACAAAAGTTGTTTGGGCTGTTTCGAAAGATTCAAAAACTTGTTTGGTATCAAGTTACAGTGAACCCATCTTGCTCTTCCTAGGTGAGGGTCAAAAGCACCTGCCGCATGTGGCTGAATGGTTCACAACTTCACACATGTAAAGTGTTGGCAGAGAGGTCACAAGTTCGAATTTCGAATGGTTATTGACAGATGAGGTACTACTCCCTTCAAAAGAAAAGAAGGCCAGCTCAGGAAAAAGGGAAAAGTACGTGGGTCAAGTAAAAGAAAAATAAAATTTGACAAGTGTGGCAATGGGTTTCATTCTCCCTCCGTCCGCGATATCCTGTGCACATGGGAATCAGAGAAGCTCAGAAGTTGCTTTTTTTCTCTATCTTTATCCCATTTGCCGAGGAGCAAGGGGCAGGATCTGGGAGAAAGGAGGTGCAAGAAAGAATTTTGAGCTCGTGAACTCTTTTTCAATGGTTGCATGTATGTACAATTTGGCTGCCAGGTGTGCGTTCACGCATGCAACCAATGTAAAAACTTCAAAAACGATTACGAGCAAGGCGCAGGATCTGGGGGAAAGTGGGTGCAAGAAAGAACCTTGACCTCAAAAGATTACTGATGATGCCAAGCACTTCGCTCTTTGCCACTCACATTCTTGTGTTCGGCATCATCAGTCGAGTGTGAACTCTGCTGTCGGTCAAGAGGATGAACCAAAGAGGCACAGACGAACGAACTAGCCAGTGTAATAAAGCTCTTTCTCCAACTATTGCCAGGGACTTCAAGAAAGCCTTTTCACCATTGAAGCCACCACGGCTTGGTTCAGCCTGTGTAACCGCGCGCTCGTTGAGCGCGGGGTCCGAGCTCAAAGTTTGAGCTCCGCTTAATTCTGCGCTCAATGAGCGCCTGAGCGCGGTTTGAGTGGCCACAGCAAGAAGGTTTTTTTTTTTGTGTTTGTGTGTGTGTGTGGGGGGGGGGAAGAGTGAGGGGCGGAGAGTGTTGCACTGTCCCCCGCCCCTAAGCCCTTGTTTTTTTTAATTAATTAATTGAGAAAAAGGCAGAGAGAGAGAGAGAGAGAGAGAGAGAGAGAGAGAGAGAGAGAGAGAGAGAGAGAGAGAGAGAGAGAGAGAGAGAGAGAGAGAGAGA